GGGGGGGGGGGGGGTCTTAAAGGATTGGAACCCGATAGCGGCTGTGTGTGTGTGTGGGTGTTGGGTGGTGGATGGATTGGGCGTGTGATGTGATATGGTGGGAAAGGGAGCAGGAAACAGGGGGGTCAGGAAAACACATGCACAAAGCTACAAATACCACCTGTTGACGGTCTGTCGGAAAAGACACACACACACACACAAGTAAACAAACGGCCCGTGGCAACAACTTGGAGGAGGAGGAGGAGGAGGAGGGGGAAGAGGGGAGCACATGCGATAGGTCTACGTTTCATGCAACTCCGACAATGAGCATGAACATAGGGCGAGGAGCTATGGAGGATATGCCCGGAAAAAACGTATACACAGTGACACTGGTGGAGCGGGAAAGGCAAGTACAGAGCGCTCGGAGGAGCCACGCCGCAGAGGGGATTATCCACATTCGCGATGTTTTTTAACTCCGTCCCTCCTCCTCCCAACCTCCCTCCTCCTCCCCCGATCGAATCCTACCGGGATCTGTTCTGCTCTTTCTACCGCTTGACCTCCCGAATCACAGTCATTCCCCAAACCGCTTTAACCCTCCTCCCCCCCTTCCTGCCCCTCCTCACTCGACACCTCCTCCGCACTGGTGAAGTCTCCCCAAGCCAATAAGTCCATCACGTGGTCCACCAACCGCGCCAGGCGGGCGGGGGAGCCGGGGGCCCCGGGGGCGGGGGCGGGGGGGGCCATAGGGCCCAGAAACCCCATGGGGCCGGCACCAGGCCCACCCGCACCGCCGGCAGCCGCAGCGGCAGCGGCCGAAGACTTGGCGGGTCGGCCCTACGTTGTGTTACGACTTATTTCAGTTTTCAGTTTCTTTCATTCAATGTTGTGAGAGGACGGAAGAGAGGCCGTCATGGCTGTGTGTGTATGTATGTATGTATGTATGTATGTATGTATGTGCGCGTCGCGTGTGCGCGTCTGTTTGTTTGTTTGTATGTATGTATGCATGGTGTGCAATGAGGGGTGTCATTGGATGGCCGGAATGGGGAAT